GCTGGTGGATCTGAAAATGGATCGGTTGTGAACGCTGAAAATGGAAATGGACATGCTGAAGAGGCTGAGGAGATGGGCACTCGGGTGTAATGAAGAGGTTGTGAGCTTTTGAATGTGGGCTGATAAGATTTTGGTTCCTTTTTCTTAAGAAAAAAAATAAATAAATCAGTTCTGGGGCTTTTAATTACAGAATTATGAAGTTGTTGGTGCACAATATAGAGAAATTTTTGTAAACTTGTGGTGGCTATTTATGGTTCTTGTATATTCACTTTGCATGCTGCATTTTCCTTTTCTTTATCATATTTTTTAGTGCTGTTCTCTATTTTCTTTCAATCTGGAAGAAAGCTAAAAATAAAACCGAAAATGACAACCCCAAAAAAAAGTTTAGACAAAATAATAATTAAAAAAAAAAATGTTGTACATATGTTCATTCAAGAGAGAATATCTGTATATGAATATTGTATACTTGTGGCCATATAAAAAAATAATAAACAAATTTTAGATAGATTGTGAAAGGGCATATTTGTAAAAGTACACTTTATCCTAAAGAAATATAGGGAAACAAATGAACTAGACAATATAACCAAACTATCTTATCTTGTGTTCATCTTACAAAACAAACATACATAACAAATGAGCTCTGCTCGATAATGAAAGTTTGAATGGAGTTGGGCCCAATCACGAACTCTTAAGGGGGTTAGTTATATTTGTGTCTATTGGGCTTAATACACATGAGAAAAATGACATAAAACGACGCCGTGATACATAATTGAGGATTTGGAAATTTGTTCTTCCTCGCACGCAAATATGGCGCTCCGAACATTTGCCGCCGCCGTTAAATTAAAACCCCGTACAAGCCCACCGCTCGTGGCCATAATGAGTCGGATTTTACATCTCGATCCTTCTTTCGGCGTCTGTCGTTTCGGCACTCCGGCGCACGGCCCAAAAGCCCTCGGCCGAATTCCGGAGCAGAACAACATCTACAGCAACGCCGCCGCCGACGACAATCTCATGCTTGTGGTGCAGCAGGATTACACCGGACCCCACGAGCTATCCCTACTCTCAATTGAAAGCAAGTCGCTCGTACTCGTTCAACCCGATGGCCCCAATTTCCCTCGGCTTAACTGAAAGTTCCATGCAAGTTGTTGAAGCTCACCATTGAAGAAATCAATGGCACACCATTGAAGAACCACCTCCACCAAACCTTCCTCTTTCACACACATCTTGTCAATAGTGGTATGCTAATTCTTGCATATAAATAGACTTCTTATTTCATTCATTTGAATCATCCAAGAGTGTGATCAATCAACCTTGAGAGTGTTGAAACACAACCAAGAAGAGTTGTGGGAGAGTTTGAGAGTTTTTTGTTTTAGAGTTTGTAAATCTCTTGTTTTTATTCTTGTGAGTAATATAAACTTATTTTTCTCTCAATTATGAGTATGATCTTGGGATGATACCACAACATTAACTGCGACAAATGGGTGGTGTCGGGCTCCGAGGATGAAGGTACTACAACTCCAGCTGAGCTCCTGTGGGACCCCACGACCGACGAGGTCTGGCCCATTCCTCAATTTCAGGTGAATCCTCGCTTTCCCGTTGAATTCTCTTGGTACCCTCTCTGGGGCTTTAGGTTTGACCCTGGCTCCGGGGACTGTATGGTGATCGGGTGTTCCGATCTCGATTATGATTCCAATATTAATTATGATTTTCGTGAGTCCAGTGAGATCGGAGGGGAGTCTCTGTCGATTCGTGGAGGGAAATCCATTGAGATCGGAGGGGAGTCTCTGTTGGTCTCGACTGTCCAAGGTCCATGTTCCGGCGAATGCTGGTGTTGCCGATGTTGTGGGTCTCTACAAGAGCGAAAAAGTGATTCTATTCGACTCTCATGGCGCGATTCTGCTTTACCGAGTTGGAGAGACCTTGTGGAATCCATGATTATAATCGGAACCACGAGCTTTGATTGAACTCGTTGCGCATAGCCATGGATTAAGTGGTTCTAGATCCAAATTCCAACGCTTGCAGCTCGTCTTTACCTTATTTATAATTTGGAAAAATTGCACCATTCGTCCACTAATTAGACCCGAATTGCACTTTCGTCCTTTATTTATTTATTTTTTACTTTTGGTACACTATTAGTTTTTTTTTTTTTTGCAAT